TTTATCCAATTCCGTTGAAATTTTAATTTTTTCGTGTTTTTTGTTTAAATTTTGTGTTTTTACATTTGATTTGTGAAAATTATATGTTTTTGTGTTTTTTTTTTTGTTAATTTTAGTCTAAATTAATTCTCAACTTTGATTTTGCATGATTTTTGGTGTTTGAAAGACATTATCTTTAGTTTTCTTTGTTTGTAGTTGATTTGCAAATTTGAAAAAAAAAAGAAAAAATAGTGGATCGAACTCAAAAGGAAACAAATATATATTTAAAAAAAAGAAAAGAAAAGTAAGAATCTAAGAGAAAAAAATATAAAAAAATTTCAGAGTTTAAAACAACTTTTTGCTATAATTTTCATTTGTGGTTTATTGATCTATTGAATAGCAATTTGTCTTTTTCTTAGAGTCTCATCGTTGTCTTATTTAACTCTTTTTTTGTTGTCATAGTATTTTCTAATTTTATTGTTTTTTTAAAAAATTTCTTGAAGTTTATTCTAGAATTTTGTATTTTCTTTGACCTCTTAAGTAAGATTTAATTCTCGANTACTCTTTTTTCTTTCTCTTTCTCTTATCTCTTTTTTCTTTCTTTTATGTTTCTCTCTTATCTAGATTGGTTTTTGAACTCTAAGTCTTATCAAAGATGGGTTTATTTATGATGAATCTTCTTTGACTTATCAATATGTTAGATTGTAGCGTCTTAAACTCTGTTTCTTATTAAAAATACATTTCTTTGTGGTGAAACTTTCTTAACTTTCCAATCTATTAGATTGTGGCGAATATTCATTGACTTATCAATTTACTACATTGTAACATCTCCATCTTTGTTTTATTACACGTTATTCTCTAATTTATTTTTGTTTATATATGCCTCTTGAGAATTCAAATTTAAAACGATCTTACTCTTTCCTAGATAGAATCATATAATCTTCTATTTAGATTGTATCATCCAGTATCTAGAGCAAGATTTCTAGTTTGATTTCTTATTCTATCTTTTTTTTTGTCATATAAAGGAAACAAAAAAAATTGAATAATTGTATTTTATGCTTTGTTTTGAAATTATATTTGGTTCATTGTACTTAAAAATTTTTAAGAAGTAAAACCCTAAGCTTTTATCCAATTCCGTTGAAATTTTAATTTTTTCGTGTTTTTTGTTTAAATTTTGTGTTTTTACATTTGATTTGTGAAAATTATATGTTTTTGTGTTTTTTTTTTTGTTAATTTTAGTCTAAATTAATTCTCAACTTTGATTTTGCATGATTTTTGGTGTTTGAAAGACATTATCTTTAGTTTTCTTTGTTTGTAGTTGATTTGCAAATTTGAAAAAAAAAAGAAAAAATAGTGGATCGAACTCAAAAGGAAACAAATATATATTTAAAAAAAAGAAAAGAAAAGTAAGAATCTAAGAGAAAAAAATATAAAAAAATTTCAGAGTTTAAAACAACTTTTTGCTATAATTTTCATTTGTGGTTTATTGATCTATTGAATAGCAATTTGTCTTTTTCTTAGAGTCTCATCGTTGTCTTATTTAACTCTTTTTTTGTTGTCATAGTATTTTCTAATTTTATTGTTTTTTTAAAAAATTTCTTGAAGTTTATTCTAGAATTTTGTATTTTCTTTGACCTCTTAAGTAAGATTTAATTCTCGAAACGTTTTTCACATTATTTGTTCACTTTTGGCTCTACTAAGGTTATTTGTCAACAGCTAAAGGATATTGGTAAAAGGGAAAAGATTACATTTGAAAATAAATCTATGAATGTGATGCATAAATAGAATTTGAGTGAAACACTTAAAAGAGTGATAAGGTTCTAAATTATTATTTTGTTTTATTAGCCTTTCTTGCACACTAGTGAAAAATGATATTTAATGATAAGGAAAATGGATCCTTAAAAATGTGTAAAGTGTATTATTTTATTACATTGATGTAATGTTATAAATAAATGCACGTTTCAATTATAATTCTATTGAAAAAAGGAAATTGGTGAAGAGCAATAAAAAACTTAAAAAACAGTATAGTGTTAGCTGTGGGAAGTTCACAACACATCCATCTATATATTTATTTCATGTTTCAGAAATTCAACCAAACTCACATTTTAATCCCCACCTGGCCCCATTATTTAAATGTTTGCTTCAAGTGAGTTGGGAAGCACTTTTTAGTGCAGGTGGCTAACACGATGTAAGGTGGGAAGTTATTATTTTACATACCCACAATTTAAATTCCAATCCTCTAATACCACTGCCAAACATTGCACTATTATTAATTCCCTTTTCTTTTCAATTACGGTTTCTGAATGTATTTTTCTTATTAATAGCCAAAACATTCATGGAAAAAATATAGTACAAACTTACTACTATCAATTAACGAATTATATGGTAAATGAATGGTCAATCCAGAATTGAATGATGGTGGATGACTCAAGACATCTTGGTTATACAAAATCATTCAAGAATTTTGTGGTTGAAGGGTGAAAAATGTGAGAACGTAGTGATAGAGTAAGGTGGAAAAAGTATCAAATCACTTGCAAGCAAGGAAAGAAAAAAAAATTAAAGATGAATGAGACTATTGAACATTTATTCCTCTTTACGAAGCTTCTAAATTAGGAAAACAAAAGTCGTATGAAATGGCCGTCAAATAAATGCCTTACAAAAAATTGGTAATAATTTAGTGTACTGTTACATATCACTGAGAAACCAAACCAGACCCTAATTCCTATAATGTCACAACAATATATATGTAAATATAAATTTTACTTTATAAAATTAAGTTAAATTTAATTTTTTTAAACATAAAAGCCAATAATTAAATCTATCTTAACAAAATTTATTACTTACAATCTTTTTCTTTATCTTTGACACAATATTTAGACTTATAACTATTTGCAATTATTTACAGGGAGAAAGATATTTTGTAATCTCCAGTTTTGAGTTGGTTTCACATTTTGGATTGAACTCAGCATCTAGTCAGCGGTGTGTTCAAAAATTTTCTTTTCTGGCAACAGTTGTATCATTCGTCCAAAGTGACAGCGAGGGAATCACTGTAGAAACACAATAATGCATCTTTTGGTGAGAGCAGAAAAACACAGGCCTTTCCATGGATCAGAAGCCACGCCTCAAATCATGAACCATTATTGTTCTTGGGAGGGTGAAATGAAATCCACGTTTATTCAAACTATTCCCTCTTAATATTTTTGTTCAAACCAAAGGATTGAAAATTTCTATTTGGTCAGCTATATCACATTCTCTTTTACAATATAAGTGCTTCTAATCACCCACACCAACTCCTCAGACTTGCTAAAGCTAGCTTTTACTCAACCTAAAATATAGCAGTACGGAAGATGTGTACAGAGGCAATAAAGATAATGACATTTTGTACCTAATCCCTTTGTTTTCTTGTACTGAGTGCAGATTAGACACCTTGCTATTTTTTTTTGTTGTATCTGAATCTCTATGGACCTCAAGGGAAAGATGAGAAAGATCTGACACCCCTTTTTCTCTGTTCACTTCAAAACTTTTCACCACTACAATATGACCACGTTCACGTACCTCAAAGTCATGTGTGCAATATAAGATGATCAATTACCAAAAGAAAATCGTATAATATTTTGAGACTTGAGTTTTATCCACAACAATTTTTTGTAATAAAATTTAATGGAACGTGAGTTTTCCTGATAGACTATTAGCTTGATTAAAGTAAAAAGCAAGCTGGGAAAAAAAGGAGATCAACTGCAGACTCCAAGTTACTATTCCACGCAACTGGCACCATAGCAAACAGTAAAACCCTATACTTTACACTACCCAATAAAATAATTTTTGTCCATGTTCCTTACACTTCAAAAGAAAAGTTATATCTTCAACACAATATTAATAGAATCACAAACACACATGTGTTGTCATCTGCAGTCTTCTTTTTATAAGTAAAATACATATGCATTATCATTTTTTATTTGATGTGGTTATATTAATTATATAAAAATAAGGTAATTAAATATATTATACTTTATATGGTATGTAGTTATGTTATAATAATAATAATACTATACAATAGTACATTATAAACACTTACACCTTAATTATTTATACCTATATATCTATATATATATTTCTGTTTTTGTTGTTGATATTTATTTTTTAATTTTATGCTTTAAATATTTTTTTAAATTAAAATAATTATTTTTTTAATTTATTTTTTAAGTGATGTTTTTTAAAATTCAACTAATTTTTTATTTGATTGTTTTTAAAATTTAATTATTTTTTAATTAAAATATTACTTACAAAATAAATAAATAAATTTTTTATTTAATTTTATAATTTATAATAATAACAATAATACTAATTTTATTATATTTTATTGTCATTAAAAAAATGAATACAAACGTGCCAGTAGATAGAAGGTGAGTACTTACCTTTTTTTTCATTTCTGGATTATGTTTACGTTATTTCTTAATTTCTTTTTTGTTTTTCTTTCTTTGTTTTATGTTTATATATTTTTTACATTATTATCTTTATCAAGTATTTTGTATTATTGTGATTTAAAATATTATTAAGAATAATATATATATATGTATTAAATATTAGAGTTTTTTTCATCAATTTTAAAATTTCTCTTCATGTACTAATACCCAGTTTGCTTTGTTAGTTTTTTCTTTTAACGAGGTATTAGTGGATGTATTTAAATTATTAAAACACATTTGATTTAATCAAAATTTGGAACAAAATGCACTTTCAGAATGACAAACATAGCTGACAGTGTTGTTGGGAAAACTCAATTTCCATACTTACAAATATTTAGTCGTAACTTAAATTTACTCTAACGATAATAGAAATGGTAATTATATTATGAAAAACTATTGAGAGCACATTATTTTGGATGAGAAGGATAATGTAGAAGAACATTAAATCAGTCATTCAATTATGTTAAACAAAACCAAATCCAGATCAAAACCAAAATCAGAATCACTTGCATAGAAAATCGAGAGGAAGAAATGAGGAAGAGGGTTGAAGACCAAACATCCCAAAAGAGAGCTGCATTCAGTACTCATACTCTGTACATCTGATAGAGATAATGCAAAGATAACTAATAAGAGATAAAGAAAAGATAAAATTTTCCGGCAATCTAAATATTTTGATTTTGTTTTGCATAATTTGTACACAGTGAACCAACGAACCAGAGATTTCCACTGTCCGTACCATCTTCGACATCTCCCACCTAACATTTCCATTTCATATGCACTTCAATACAATCAACAGCTCAACGCTTCATACTTCACCGGCATGGACCGATTAAACCCCACCTGAGAAAGCAAGTTCCCCACCACTGCAATGTCACGGCAGAAAACGCCCTGAAACATCGCCGGATTCACAGTAGAAGAACACACCATGGAACTATTTTGAGACATTTGAGCATTATTATTATTATTATTATTATTATTATTATTATTATTATTATCATCGTTTTTATTATTATTATTATTTTCCACGCTGCTGCTCCTAGTACACTCAACCTTGCTCCACAGCTCAGGTTCATCGTCTTTCTCTTTCTGCACTTGAATAGCCAGCAAAGCTGCCTTCTTTCTCTGCTTCTCAGCAGCTTCCTCATCCATGATGTTACTCATCACAGTAGTGTAACCCTTCTGAACCAATCTATACAACAACAAAGATGACATCTTCGCCCTCTCATTAACCGACTCAACATCACGCTCATCCGCAAGCTCGCACCTTTCGATAAACCCCGTTGCCTTATCAGGCTTGTGCCGCAAGGAAAGCAACAAGTGAGCCCTTTCCAACTCCGACCGGGAACAACCTCGTCGAACACCAATCAAAGCATAGTAATCGACATTCCCTGTTTCTCGAGATGCCAGCTTCTGTTTCAGTTCTTGAATTTTAATAGTGAGGGTGCAGAGTTTCCCTGGAATTTCCCTATAACGCACGTTGTGGCGCTTCCACGCAGGACCGGGAAGCTTGCGGTCTCGTAAAATTGAATTGTAGAGGAGCTTCAAGTGTTCGAGGTCGTGAAGAGAATCGGGTAAACAACGAATGTTTTCGAAGAGTGAAGCTCTGGTTTCTAGTGCTTGAATGCAAGTGGGGTCCAAAGCAAGGGTGCGGTTACAATCCGCAATTGACTCTGCGATTCTACCGGCGGAACGGTGAGCAGAGGCGCGGAGGAGGTAGCATTCGACAAGGAAGCTCTGCGGTGCGCTACGCCGGCCGTCCACAATTTTCGAGAAGTGGCGGATGGCCTCTGAGTAGAGCCCTGCATCGAGGGCGGCCAGTGCGGCGGCGCGTCGCCGGAGGAGAAACTTTATGTGGCCGAGGAGTTGAGTCACGCTCTCAGTATCCGCCGCAAGAAGAGTTCGCGGTGGAGTTGTGGGTGGCGCATTTGTGGCGTCGCTGGAGAATTGAATGTTCGCAACATTGAAGCTGTCTTGCGACCAGCACACACTCTCGCGCCGGAGCGTAGCGCTTGCAAGACGCTTTCCCGTTTGAAGAAGAACCATTGCATCCTCCATTAGGCCTAGGTGGCAGCATGCTTCACCCAACACCAAGTATCTGTTTGAAAATTCCACTTTCAAGTAGTTAATCACGCACTCAAACTATAATAAATATTAATATATAAATCTCACTTTATTTAAAACATTAATTCATTATTCATTACCCAAACCGTTCTTTTTGAAGTCTTAAATTAATTTCTTATTAGAAAAATAAAAGAAATATAATAAGTTTCTTTATTTTACTTAATATTATCTTAAACTTAGAAAATATAATGAAATATAAGTTATATTATACTAAACATGAAAAATATAAGGAAATAGAAAAAATGACAGTTAAAAACTCAAAGGAATTGGATGTATAAATGTGTGAATAAAGTGGAATAGGGTGTCACGAAACTAGATAAAAAGATGAGAGCATTGGCAAAGAACCTAAACAGGTCTACACAACACCAGTAATTTAAGTCACATTATATAACCAAGATTACACTTTAGTGAGAGACAAATATATACAGATACGATGTCGTAACAGGAACTGCAATCGTTTTGTTTTGCTCTGAACGATTAGAAGAAGGCTATGGTTTGTGAGATAAGAACAGAGAAAGACAATGTACATATACGGGTCTGGTTAAGTCATAAATAAGTTAAAAAAAACGTATCAGTGAGTATTTTTTTATTGTGCGTTGAATTACCACTTCCGTTGGGTGTATGGGTGACTGCAGGGAGCATTTACGCAAACCCGTTTAAAGTAGTTACTTCCATTCGATCTCAAACTTAAATAAAAGTCATTAACTGTGATTAATTAATTAAATAAATAAATAAACAAAGTGAGTTCCCTGTACCGAAGAAATTCCCTTTTCAAAACCTGCAAAAACTCCACGCCAAAGCAAAACCAAGGAAACAAAATAATGCAAGAGTGTCAGTGAGAGAAAATAAAAGGAAACGATGAAATTACCTCCATTGCCCTTCCTTCTCGCCGTTTTTACACAGCCCTGCCATGACCTTCTTCTTGAGGTCGGAAACAGAAAAGCACTTGAAGCTCTGATCTCTCACCGGCGACTCACAGGAAGAGAGAAGCTTCACTCCCTCTCTGGAGGTGTCGGATGAAACAGAGGAGGAGGAGGAAGAGGAGTCATCGTTGATTCGGAGGCTCGGAATGTAGTCCTGAAGCATATCCGCGACCTCCTTGAAGCGCCGCAAACAGAGCAGAGCCCTGGCTCTAAGCTCAAGCGCTTGGTCCAGCCTGGGAGAAATCGCCAGAGCCGCATCGAGAAGGTTGAGAGCCGAAACAATCTCCCTCTGATCTTGCGTGGCTATAAGACTCCGAGCGTCTTTGATGTATTTCTCAACAATCTTAAAAAAAATAAAAAATCGCAAACGTGTCATCGAAAACATTTCGATTGAAACTGAAATTGTAAACAGAAGGCATACCTTACCTTTCGATTGGTAAGCCACCAATGTCTTTTTTCTGTGGAGGATAGAGTGTGAGTAGTGATGGCCATTTTTGAGTTAATCTGATGAATGTTGTAGCATAAAAGTGTTGGGAGAGGGGGCTAATTTGTATTGCTGTCCCTTCTTCTCACACCTCCCTCCTAATGAAATTTTGGGGTCTAATTATAAAGGGAGTGTGAGAGAAAGAACAGAAGCAGGGAATAGAAATGTAGAAGAAGTTTAGGGTTTTTTATATGGGTATTTACTAAGTGGGTTTCGTGTAGAAGTGGTTATAAGGTGAAAGCAGGGGAGGGGGAAAACTCAAAAATTGACAGCTTTGACCCTCGTGGAAAGCTTTCATCCTTCTAATTCATAGCTGGCACACCCTGGATTCTCTCTCACACACCCCCACACACTTGACCTATACGTATGATTGTACGTATGTAATGTATGTATATATGTATGACATTTTAAGTGTAAGTAATAAGCTACTAATATTTATGATTTGGAACCTGACTCAGCCGGTGAGTGCATGATTGTAACTAGATATACCCGGTCACTCATCACGGGTCCTCGGTTTCAAGTTTCAACCACCAGGGAAAGATAACTGCAGCCAAATGTCCCAAAGCTAAGCAAAGCAGCCTTTGCTATTGCTATTTATTTCTCCTACCCAACCATTTCAAACACGGATTTACCCTTCCATACGTTGACCTTGTGCTATTTCCTTCACTCCTCTTTGCATTCATCATATTTTCTTTTTCTTATCATTCTTTTAAACCATACAAATGTTACCATCACCCATTTTTAATTCTGTCGCTTTTTCGTAACGCACCCATGATTGACTCCATAAAAATTGTGAACAAAGAGGCCAAAACATAGTACCTCCACATGTGACCTTGGAGGCTAATCAATCCACGAAACAAACAAACCTGTGTGAATTTCTAATGTAAAACAAACCCTGATAGCGGGGGATGGGGACATTCATTGTCACAAAGGTACTACATCCACATATAATCATCAATCAACTAACTATTTACATTCACATCATTAACAAAATCCCTATATTGAACAGTAATCACTTTATAAATTCATAATCTTGTACTCTCATGACAACTCTGCACTGATGTACATACCTTTTTCTTTTACATGTATGAAAAAAAAATTGATATAGTAGCTCAACCCTGATTAAACACACCTTTTTCTTTTCTCTCTACTTTGCCATTGAATGATCATTATGACTCTGTAACTTTTCAAGATGCAATTATCACAGAGAGAGAGACAGGCCATCCATAATTTGGCCATTACCATAATTTGACAAGTAGATATTATAGGTACACAGGGGATATCATGATCCAACACCAAGTTTTAGTAATTATTAAGATAAATAATAATTTAATTCATGAAACATGTTAGATACTATCTATTTAGTTCTTGTAACAGAAAACATTTATTTTATTTTTTGAATTTATAAAACAACTATAACGAAGTTCTATTATTAAAATTTATTAAATCATGAAACAATGGTTCGGTGAGTTTATCATTTACTTACTGTTTGTAGGCAATTATTTTAACAAGATGGGTCTTTATGTTGTTAGTTGTTTGATGTTTGTTTGGTTGAAGAAGGAGAGGCATGGAATTAGGGTTAAAAGAAGAAGCGAGGGCAAAATGGTGAGGATGAATTGGTAAAAAAGGAGGAGCATATTTATGGGGAGCGAGAAAGGGACTCTTGTCTCGTAAGACACAGGAATCATGCTTTTTCTTTTGGTAGGGTTGGTTCGCTTTTTATTTCAGCCACATTGATTAATGAATGCACATGAACTGGGATTAGATAGCAAGATGGGTTTGTCTTAAAGGCTCTCTAACTTACCTTTCCATTGCCCCACAATCCCATTATAAATAATGCTGCACTGTACATTTTCATCCAAAGAGATCAAGGTGAAATTCAAACTCTCATATTTCGATCAAATAAATAACATACTAATATTTATAAACTTATTGTGTTAAGAATTAATATTTTAAATAATGCTATATTATTTTATTTAAACTTGTTTATAATTCATTGCTATCAAAACTTCCTTAAAAGAATCCAACATTTCATACTCTTTGCCATGTCAGCCTACTGCCACCCTGTCTCCCCGTGGCATTTCTCATTTTTTTCAGGCCAATGCAACTACTCTACAACCACTCCTTTTGATATAAAATACTCACCAGATAACATAAACCAGTTTCTGGAGCATCTCACTCATTTTGTTTATGTTCTTCTTCTCTTTGGAACAAAACTAACAAATTGTGTCACTTTGAACGATAATAATAATAATACTAATAATAATAATTCTCTGTTCTGTTGTAACATGGTCAATGATTTCAGCCTGTAGGAACATTTCGGTCTCTCTATATATATAACTATGCATATTCGTTTTCCCAATGATAATGCTGAAATTTTTCTCCAAATAATTGCTCTTGGATTTCCTTTATGTCCTGGAAATTCTTTATTCATGCTCAAGCACATGAGTCTGATTTCGGCATGCCAAAACCCACCACTAAATGATCATGTGATGTGCGACTCTTCCTCCGGAAAGAAAAAAGGGCAATGCTTCACTACCTGTAAATAAATTCCTTCTCAAACATACGACTTTTCAAAGTAAACTATTATTGGCATAAGCATTGTCACAAAGTGAGAGAGCTACGGTTACTTTCTTCTTTAAACACTCAACATGAGATGTTCTCTAAATACATGACTTCTGTAAATTCCTAGTGTTAGAATAGCACTCATAGAGTTGTCCTATGATGAGAAAAGAAATGTGTCACGAAGAACATCAACATCTTCACTTCCGAAAATTACTCTATTAATAAAAAAATAAGATAAACACGAGAATACAATGTAAAAACTCAAAAAAAAGAAAAAAAACATAAATCATTGTGTAATGTGAACTAAAGAATAACATTATATGAAATTTGTGAAGTTTTTACAACATAAAGACAAATATCTCATGTCCTATGATGGAAAAATGTGTAATAAAGAACATTAATATCTTTACTTTCAAGAATTATCATACACAATCGCACAATATAAAAACTTTAAAATAGGAAATAAATCAGGACAGTTGATGACAATGAAAGAATAACGTTATATGAAATTTTTACAACACATAAATAACTCTCATGTTCGTTGAATCCAAATACACCTACATTCTCCAAAAAAACAAGAATTTAATCCAAATCTTACAACACTCTATTACAAGAGTATAATACAACTTTCACTTTGAATAATTAAAACAATGAGTTTAAAATCTATTATATAGTCACTAACATCCATTCTTCTTCTTATCTTAGGTCATAAGATTAAATATGTTTTCAGTCTCTAAAATCTGATACAAAATTAGAATTGATTCTTGTTTGAAACTTTGATACATTTGGTCTCCAAACTTTAAAATAACTCGATATAGTAATTTTAATCCAATTAAATTAATTTTTTATTTAGACATATGAAAGTTATTGTGTAAAAAATAAGTTTTTAAAATTTTTTATTTTAACTCAACTCATTTAATTTATTTAAAGAAAAAATGTATTCACATCAATTAATAATTTAATTAGAATTATACTTAAAAAATATTTTTTTATCTAAATTTATATTTTAAATATGTTTTAGTTAATTTTATTTAAAATTAAGAAAAATATATATATATAAATATTAGTATTTACGGATAAAAAAAGATAATAGAACAATTTATTTTATATTAAACCGCTAAATTATTCATACTGAACCTGTTGGAATCTGAGCCGTGAAGGTTTAAGGAGAAGGGTCTATAAAGTGTGGTTTCTTCCATATACACATGGCTGGCGTTCTGGTATAAGCTGGAACAGCTCAGGGGCCCTTCGTCGTGATGGTGACCATCTGTTGAATTTGATTGCTAATTGGGTAGGAATCATGAATGGAAAGAAATTAAGATGTCCCACTTGTTTTATGTGATACAATCCCCTTGAATCCCTTGTATCACACAAATAATTTCATGCACTACTCTTATCACTTTAATTGGTGGGTGCTATTGAATACTTGCTTTCTGTGCATCTCCTCCTGTCCCTCTTGTTCCTCCATTCCATAGCCATAGCTTCTTAATTCCATCTGCAATGGGGGAGCCATTATTATTTCAAATTTCTTCCTTCGCCCCAACCAAGTCTCTCTTTGTTTGTATGTATGTGTGTATGTATGAAAATGGGGTCGTCAATTATTGAAAATAGCTTTTTAAAGAACAGACTAGCCAACATATCAAACGCTCATTTAAGTTTAACTCTGCCAACAACACATGCACTGTCTAAGCTTCCTTATATTAACCAAAACACTTCTTCTGCAAACAGACATGTACATCACTACCCAACACAGAAAATCGGCCCTTCTTATTAGACACTGCTTGATTGCTGCGCCCATAATTTATAATTGGATGACTTATCTTCATTTATTTCCTTATCATTCTCCTCCTACTGTATCTTCTCAATTATTATTTCTAGTTTTTTTCCTTCAGAATTCCGCAGGAAAGGTCAATGACCCTTTTATTTCAATGCGTTTTCTTTGGGGTCCTAGAATATAGTGTTACTATCACATGTTCTGAACTGCAATACGTATATGGTCCTTGTTGATAAGGTATATATGGTTATAGAATTTGGTCTTTCAACTAATTATCTTCTCCTTCCATCATTTTTATAACTGTGGAAACTGGTTAACGAAGCGTGGTAATAACCCTGTTATACGTAACCGGTTGAGTTTCGAGTTACAAAAGAAACAAGTTTTAACAAATAATAAAATAAAATAAAATTCACCAAAACAAGAGTGTAAATTAAAATTAAGAATAACTTGGGGTCTCATAAAACTGTTAATGATTAGATAATATTAGTATATTTTTTTAGATAGTTCAATTATACAAAAATGTATATAAAAGTATGTCGTTCAACTTCAAATTCCATTTTCAAAATACTAATATATGTGATTAGAACTACAAATAGAAACACATTCACTGTGAATAAAATCTGTAACAAATATTAAATAATATTTTTAATGAACACGAGTATTTAATTATTGGCTCGTTGATAAGATGGGTATGAATATTATTCAACGTACATATTGCTACATGCTAATAATTATTAGTAAATTTTATTTAAGTATTTTTATAAAATTTATAAGTAATCAAAATAAAATTATTAGTTAATTAATTAAGTTTATAATATGTTAAAAAAATTTATTTTTAGATATACTGCGAACCA